GCCACAACCCTCCCGCCGCCACTTCATCGCCGATCTGGCCCTGCCACGACCCGAACGGGCCGAAACCCTGGCAAGGTAAATCCTCGCCGTCTATCTCTGGCCCCGCGGTAAGCTGATCGGGCGCCAGATGGATCGAGCCATCCATGGTCGCTGCCTTCCGATGGTGCTCGAAAACCTCACCGCCGCCCTCGATTCGGAAGCAATTTCCTGGCAATTCGATGATCGGCTCGTCTCCCTCCGCGATCGAGCTCGCGTACTCACCCAAGCTGGCGGCGATCCACGGGCCGGATTCGAGCCCGTTATCGGGTTTGGGGCCAGGCCGGGCGGACTTGGCACGGCGGCTCTTGCGGCGGCCGCTTCCGACGGGGACGCTGCGGAGGGAGCCGCCCATGGTCCAGTAGCGGCGGCAGGCTCTGCAGAGGTAGCGGGGCTGGGAGAGGCTGTAATTGTTGTAGTAGCAGAACTTAGTGTCGGCGGAGGTGCACCTGGGGCAGCTGGGGGCCGCCTCGGTGCTGCTTCTCCGCCACCTGGCGGCGCCGGCTGGCAGAGGAAGGCGACCAATCGACGGATGGTCGAAGATCAAGTTGGGGTCGCTAGTGGTGGTGGTTCTAGTGAACATTTAAGAAATTTTGAGATGGGAATAGAAATTGAGATAGAGACAGATTATTGTGATGGTGGGGTGGCAAATTTTGAGTGAAGGGAGGGGAATGTATATATAGAGACTGTACATATATGTGGAGTTATATATAGGTGGGTTCTTTGGCTCGCCAAGGTTTCGAGCTGTAAGATCACGCATATATGCACATACTCGAATACTCGAGCGAGTGTCTGATGGAACGGGATACGGTGTGGGCAGGTGTTGGCAGTCTAAATGTAAGGCAGGTCGAGTATTTATTGATCTTATGGATCGGAAGTTTGGAACCTAGTGTTAGCTAACTTTTAGATGAGTTGACTTGTCATACTCAGTGAACGAATGTATATTTATGTGATCAAATATCATGTGTGTATATTACTTTTTCTAACGTACGATGTTTTTCTAATAAAAGTATGTATATTTATAAGTGGAAAAAAATATGTATGTTAAATGTTAAATGGTTAGACAGGTCAAATAGAAAACTTACCCGACTGACATGCCTTGAACTTCTATTCTTTGGTTCTTTGCTGTGATTCTCCAATTTAACTGGAAAAATCGTTTTAATCGTACACTTCATTATTCCTTTGATTTGGTTCTTCAATGATGATTTGTACGAATGGATACACGATGGCTACCGCCACGTTACATTAGTTATTACCATATGCGAGTTTTTAGACAGCCAAACTATAAATTTTCATTTCACAATACAAGTGAAGAAATTCATACGAACAATAGAGAATTTCACATTGGGTGAGTGAAATTAGACTAGACAATAGAACTAGAAGTACAGTCCTTGTCCTTGGGCGGTTTGTTGGGACCATAACACACATCACACATACGCATGTGAAGCAAACATCGCATTTTGAAGACATTGTCATAATGTGATGGTGCCTTTGTGTGGGGAAAGAGGGATATTATATAGCAAGAAGTTTGGGTAGCGTAGGCATTTCATGATTGGGCGAGTGTGAGCGCTATTGGTAGGTAAAAGTTAATGTAACTCCATTCATATATGTAACTACATTTGAATCAACTATACATACGGGTATTAACAAGCTAAACTCGAGCTCGAGCCCTTAACGAGCTGGGCTCGGCTCGACTTCTTAACTTAACTAGCTCATAACCGAACTCGAGCTCGATTAATAAACTGAACTTGAGCCTTAACGAGTCGGAATCGAGTTTTAACATGTTAAACTATAGAAAATTATATATAAATCATCTATTCAAACCATTGCGTACAGAGCTGCGGGTCGTTTGAGTAACGAGTGGAGCCAAGCTGAGCTCATGAACTGTCCGTTTAGTTTAACAGCTCTTGACACACATATATACTTTCACGGTGGGCAATGATCCAGACGGTAAAAAAATCCCATGACTGCACCCTTTAGGTTGAAATTACCACAATGCACTCAATTGTCACAATAATTTTTTTACCATCTCGGAGCTCTTGAAAATCAACAATAATAAATTACAATTAAAAAAATAATATGAACTATCAACAGGGAGATAATTTACATTTCAACAGAAATTTAATGTATGACAAAAATATAATAAATTTTGCAAGTATATAAAAGGAACTTATATAGGATTACTCTAATTACTATTATCAAATGTAATGTAGTATGATAATAATTAAAAAATAAATAAATCTAATATGACATGATTAATGATGATAAATCCATGTCGAGTATTCGTCATGCCATGTATGTAAGTTTATCATAATTTCATGCCAGATTTGATTATTGATATATGAATTTCTCCTTTTTACTCTTTTTTT